CCTTGGTTGGATGTGGCTGGCTTTGTTTCTTGTTTCGATCCAGAAACATACTTCTCCTCCTTAACAAAGCCTGGTTTCATGCTGGATGAACCCTTGTGATAAGTCGGACGTGAACTTGCCCTTCTTTTGAGCTGCCGCTCGCATTTGATAGCCAAATGCAACAGTTCCTCGACTTCGACATAAGGTTGTAATTCCACTCTATCTTGAATCTCTTGATTCAAACCCCCAAGGAATCTTTGTAAGGTAGCTTCCCTATCCTCCTCAATATTTGCTCGGATCATGAGTATCTCCATCTCTTTGAAATACTCCTCCACACTTCGATTTCCCTGCACCAATTTTCGTAATCTTTGGTGTATATCACGATGGAAATGATTAGGAACGAACCTTCTCTTCATGACAGCTTTCATTTCATCCCATGTAACAATAGGATATTCTCCATTCCTCCTCCTTGTGGTTACGAGTTGGTCCCACCAAACAAGAGCGTAATCACTGAATTCTGCGGCTGCCCTTTTTACCTTCTTCAACTCCGAATAACGGTGACATTCAAACACCATCTCTGTCTTTCTCTCCCATTCGAGGTACACTTTAGGATCGTTTCTCCCTTGAAACGACGGAATCTTCATTTTGATGCTTGCCAAGTCATCATCAACGTGATTTCTGGCTTGTACATGTCTACACCTTTGGGGTTGCTCAACTACTCCCTCCCCATCCGACAATGCTCCTTCTCCATCACTAGGGGCAATTGAAGGTGTTCGAGCTCTTTGTCCTGCATTTTGTCGTGGCAGGTTACGTGCGGCATGCGCCTCATTTTCCATCTGGTCTATTCTTTGATGGATACCCTCCAGCTCAGCACGCATGATTCTCCGTAGCTCACCCATCAATGCTTGCATTTGAAGAGGGTTTGTTTCTCCATGTTGCTGATTGTCGAGATTGCGATTTTGTTCATCCGCCATGTTTCTGCAAAAGGAGGTACGAAGAAAGAAAAGAAGAAAGAACAAAGAAAAGGAAGATGTCCTCACCACACTCAAGTGTTTCACTCGATATTTGGCTTTTACCCTCTGATGATCTCACACACTCTTGCCTTTTTCCCCTCTTCAGTATTCTCTATATGGTTCTTATCGAACTATTCGGATCTCAATCAGAAATCTTCTCCGTATCGGTCCACCAAGACAAATCAAGGAATAATAAGACAATGAAAGAAGACACAAAAAAGATGGACAATTGGGAAGAAAGGTTAGCAAAGGAGGAAACCAAAAGAAGACGACAAGAAGAAGATGCAACAAGATGCACTAAGACCACAAACAATTGGCAAGAGTAGTAAAGCTACGTACGAAACCCCTTTTTCTTTCTTTTTGCTTATAAATTGCAAAACCAAAACTGTTCTCTTTTTTTTTTCAACCTTTTTTTTTTCTTTCGTTTTTTTTTCTTTCGTTTTTCTTTTCTCTTTGATTCTTTTTTTTCGTTTTTTTTTCTCTTTTTTTTTTAACTTTTCACAAATGCAAACTTTGAAAGTAATAAATTAGAAATAGATGAGTAGGAAGAAGATAGAAATGAAAAGAACAAATTAAAAAGATAAAGGATAGATAAAACCTAGATTAGAGATGAGCTCTGATACCAACTGATGCGGAACCAAGGACCTTTACTCTAATTAGGCAGGTGGAGACCGCGACCTCTAACCAACCGGTAGGAATCAACCTTGGCACAAGTCTAAAAGACTGCCTCGACCTAGACCTAACACCGTGACTAGCGACCTTGGTATAGTGAAGACGCCACAAACGGTTATGACTGTCCGTTTGATAAGTCGGGTGAACGCCACGGATAGAAATCCGATAAGTTCAAAACAGTTCACAAAGAACTAAAAGAGAATACTATCACAAGTTTATTGATCAAGGATGTGTTCTTACAAGTGAGATTAGCCCACCTATTTATAGGAGAAGTAAAAGAAATCCAAAAGACATAGAAGACTAGAATTAAATGTAGTCTTCCTAGAATTTTGGGAATATAGGAAAACAAAGCCATAAATGTGGTGGACTTGACTTTGAATGCCTTGGAATCATCATGAAGACTTGAACTTGCAGATTCCTTAGTGATTTTCGTCATGGACTTGGGCTGCAACATTTGGGCCTTCATTTTGGGCTCTCCACACTTGAAATCATGTTGAAAATGGGCTGGACTTGTATATGACTTGATCCAAGTTGATTTCCCATGTGTTTTTGGCCCAAACAATCAAGAAAAAGGCCATTTAGAGCAGCTTGGAGTTCCCTTGATTTTGACCTCGTCATGGGTCCACTCGAGAAGACGAGATGATCCGCATTGCTATCCTGCTCCGCATCATTAATGCATCATTTAATAATCTTATTTACCATGTATTGAGAGAACCAAAGCTTCCCACATTCGAATAAACCTGTATGATGATAAAAAAGGGAAGAGGGTGGTCGGAACTTGTTCACTGGACCGCTTGAGCTTGCTCATTATGCTCACAAACCGGCTGCAACAAATTATACCCCAAGGGATCGCAAACCTTATTTTTGTGATCATTGCAAATGCCAAGGGCACAGCAAAGATCGTTGTTGGGTGCTCAATCCTCATCTGAAACCTACCAAATACAAAGACATACCTCGCTGTGGATCTGCTCTAACCGGGGACATGACAACATCACTGATGGCTCAATCACTCTTACTCATGACGAGTTGAAAGGTTTAAAACACCTTCTGCAATCACTCAACAAAGAAAGTGGTAATTTGTCTCTTTTCACTTCTATTATTATTGATTCGGGTGCTACTACTCATATGTTCTATGATGATAAATTGTTTGAAAGCATAACACCAAGCGTTGGCGTAGTGACGGTTGCAAATGGTAAACAAGTTTCTGTTAAAGGAATTGGTACAATTCGAATTTTTAATCAAACCATTACTGCACTCTATATCCCAGACTTTCATGCTAATCTCTTATCTATTGCTAAATTTGTTGAAGAGTCTCCTTGTAGAATTCTTTTCGATGCTAATGGTGTTTCATTTCAGGATATTGAGTCGGACCATGTGTTTGGCAAACGCACAAGGAAGGGCAACCTCTTTTATGTTGACGAATTCCATTCTAGTTTTTTATCTATTTCGCCTACTGTGTGGCATGCCCGATTAGGTCATCCACACTCTAAGGTTTTGCGTTTACTTATTCCCCAAGTCAAGTTAATTAATCAGGTTTGTGAGGCTTGTACTTTAGGGAAACATTGTCGAACCGTTTTTCCGATTTCATCTACTATCTATGAGCATAAGTTTGATTTGGTTCATTCGGATGTATGGACTGCCCCTTGCTATTCTCGTGATAATTTCAAATACTTTGTCACTTTTATTGATGAGAAAACCAAATACACATGGATAACGCTTTTGAAACACAAAAGTGATGTCTTTGGTGTTTTTAAAAACTTTTTTGTTTATATCTCTAACCAGTTTGGCATTAAGATTAAATGCTTGAGAACAGATAATGGAGGTGAGTACATGAGCTCCAAGTTTCGGGAATATCTCCTACACGAAGGCATTGTGCATCAACGGTCTTGTGCTCATACTCCTCAACAAAATGGAATTGCTGAGAGGAAAAACCGTCATTTAATGGAAGTCGCTCGAACTGTCCTTTTTCATCGCCAAGTTCCCAAGAAATATTGGGGTGATGCTGTCAAAGTAGCTTGCTATATTATCAATCGGTTACCGACTCAAGTGCTGCACGACAAGTCCCCATACGAGGTACTCTTTAATCGTCGTGACTCTCTTGATCACTTACTGTGTTTGGATGTGTTTGCTATGCTCATATAGATGAAGGGCAACGCACCAAACTTGATCCGAGAAGCATCCGCTGCATCTTCCTTGGATATCTGGCTGATAAAAAAGGGTACACGTGCTACCATCCTCCGACCAATCGCATATATACATGTCGTGATGTCAAGTTTCATGAGGAGCTTGGCTACTTTGGTGACAACGATTGGAAACAACTGGAGAACCTTGTAGAAAGGGGGAAGGATTATAACTCGCCTCTGCTCCATCTCATGACTACTATTCACCATCTTGGAGCAAATCTTGATCGACCCTCATTGGCGTCACACCCTCACGATTTACATGCCGGTGGTATTCCTCATACACCTTCTCTCTCTCAGCAAGATTCTGTACCCATTAACAATGCAGGAACTAGGTCAATGGTTGAAAAGCCTGACCACGGTAATTTACTTGAGGAGGACGACAACACCATATCCTGGTCATCTATTGATTCCAATGAGGGGAAAATAGGTATTGTGCAGCAACATAACACGATGGAGCCTATTGTTGACTCTGAGCAGGATTCAGCCACTGCACAAACCTTATCACCATCAAACTCATTGATGTCGGTCCCAACCCCTGCTCCTTTGAGACGCAGCACAAGAGAAAGGAAGCCACCTTCTGAATGGTGGAAAACATCTCACCAAGCTCAAGCAGTGGCACATCCGATCGATAAGTACTCTACTCTTACTCACTTTGATACTAATGAACGCAATTTCTTGAGTATCATTGAGCAGGGTTTCGAACCAACTACTTTCAATCAGGCCAAAGATATTCTTGAATGAAAGCAAGCAATGGCTGATGAAATTCAAGCTCTTGAGAAGAATGGAACATGGCTGATTACCAACTTACCACCACATAAACACCCGGTGGGCTGCAAATGGGTATACTAGATCAAGTACCACAACAACGGTGATATTGAACGTTACAAAGCGAGACTAGTAGACAAAGGATATACTCAAACTCTTGGAGAGGACTACAATGAAACGTTTGCTCCGGTAGCTAAGCTACCAACGGTGAGAGTGCTTCTTTCCTTAGCTATCAATCTTGGTTGGAGTTTGTGGCAGATGGATGTTAAAAATGCTTTCCTACAAGGAGATCTAGAGGAAGAGATCTTTATGACACCTCCTCCAAGATATACAAACGCCATTCAACCCGGACAGGTTTGCAAATTGAGGAAAGCCATCTACAGCTTAAAACAATCCCCTCGACAATGGTATTCCAAACTATATGAGGCACTCATAACAAAAGGGTTTGTTCGTAGTGACGCCGATCACTCTCTTTTCACATTTACAAGTTCCTCTGGTATCATTGTTCTGCTCGTTTATGTGGATGATATAATCTTGTCGGGAAATGATACATTGGGTATTGACAGCACTAAATCATATTTGCAAACTATTTTTGACATCAAAGATCTCGCCACACTTAAGTATTTTCTTGGCATCGAAGTTACCCATACTACTAATGCCTTGTTCTTGTCTCAACGTAAATACGTGCTTGATTTGCTAAAAGAAACAGGAAATCTTGGGGCTAAACCCGTGCGAACACCAATCGAAGAACACTTCAAGGATCAACGCGAGGGGGAATCACTTCAAGACTTAGAGCAATATCGTCGCGTTGTAGGTAAGTAAATCCACCTCACGATTACACGTCCTGATATTAGTTTTGCTGTTCATCAGGTCAGCCAATGGATGCACTCCCCGACGACAACACATTGGCAAATGGTGGATCGTATACTCAAATACCTCAAAGGAACACCAAACAAAGGCATATGGATGGAAAACAACAAGCATACTCAACTGGTAGCATACTGCGATGCGGATTGGACTGGAGATAGGAATGATCGCAAGTCAACCACGGGATATTGCACATTCATCGAAGGCAACTTGGTCACATGGAAAAGCAAGAAGCAAACGGTGGTGGCAAGATCGAGCGCTGAAGCGGAGTACAGAGCCATGGCCAACACTACAAGCGAAATAATGTGGCTGCAAAACCTGTTGAAGGATCTCGGAGTCACAACTACACAACCGACGCCTTTGCATTGTGACAATCAAGCCGCATTACATATAGCAGCCAATTCAGTCTTCCACGAGCGAACAAAACACATCGAAGTGGACTGACATTTTATTCGGAAAAAAATCATGCAAGGA